GTGCTGTGTAGATGTAAAAGTAATGAAGAGGCTGAGACTGTAGCAAATCACTGAAGAAGATTGTGTAGATGTGAGAGATGTTTGATCGGGGGGTGACACATGTAGTCGAGGTTTAGTAAAAGCTTTTTTATTTTTCCTTCAGTTGTATTAGCCACAGTGACAGTGCTGTTAATGCAACACTCACAGCAACAATTAATGTAGTGCTGAAATGAACTGAGCTAGAAGACATGAGAGCTGTGGAAGCCAAGCAGACAGGTTTACCAATTACCAACATTTTAAACTCAACCTGAGTGAACTGTCAAAGTGTGCTGACAAATAGCTGTCCGCTGTGCTGGGAGACAATGGCTTCCTGAGACTACAGGTCTGTTGGTTTACTGCAGTGTTGGACATAAAATAAGCCATCAGACTAGCAGAGTATTGTGAAAATCAACATCATTCTGGCAAAAGTTTGCCACAATGTAACTAACTTAGTCACAACTCTAACATTTTACCTTCTAAAATCATTTGAACTATAGATCAGAGGCCACCGTATATCCACTTACTCGCTTCTTCTTCATGTCCTGATTGTTCCTAATTCGCATTTCCTTTCATGTGTCTCTTTGAGATAAAACCGGCCCAGAAAAACAGTAGCTATAAAAACAGCGCACGCAAAATTAGAGTCACTTAGATGGCTTTTGTTGTACCATGTTGCTCCTCTTCATAGTTAAGTGCCCAGTTAACTAATGCTATGTCCCCTGCTCTCAGCGAATATTGTGGGCTTCATTTGACTGCCTTGTTTAAATTGGCCCTAAATTGGACTGACACTGTGCACCACACACTGCAGACCTCTGACTACAACTTTGGAAATTTTGAAGTCAAATACCCACACAAAACTGTGTCTCTTTTCTTTTCAGCAAAGGGATGACTTATAGCATTAATTACATTGATCCATGCCAGCTTAATGAACCAATAATGTGAGCTTGCCATTGCCAAGAAAAGGCACTATGACATAATTAATGACTTACCGCTCACTATGTCAGCACAGCCCTTATCAGTTCATTATGTGCCATCACTCTATGCATTATGAATCCTTATTAGACAACCTCCTTTTCACTGCACATGCTATTCACACAAATTTCAAAATACGCTGTGTAAAGGCCAAGCTTTAATTCAATAGCCCTGAGACTTCAAGGTGCTGTTGATCTTCGGTGTGTTGTTCTTGCAGTGTAGTTACAAGGGCCAAGCGCAGCAGGGAAATATTTGTGCATGAGATAAAATATATGCTCTGATGAAGGATTTAGCTCCAACAACATCAGACAATCTATTAAAACACTGTATCATTGGAGAAGTGCATTGTAAACTTCCAGTGTTACAATTAAATGCACACGGTCTAATCCACAGTCTATTGATTTTCGTAGCTGCAGTGCAAATTTCCTTTGTGAGTTTCTCATACCCATCTATTGAAACTACAAATACAAGGCGCAGTAAATTATAGATAACACTGGATTCTCTCTGTGCACTTCTGAAGCATACTTATTTAAATGATTTCTGCTTGCAAAGACAATGATATCACTGTATGAAGCGTTCTGAGTTTCACTGATTGTAATCAAAGCAAGAATATGAGCAAACCCAATGACCCAACTCTGAAATGTGCTTCAAAAGCTATGCTTGGTGCTTATGGAAGATGTTCTTTCCTTTTAAGTGAGTGAAACTGATGAACTCAAACTCTGGTCTAGGGTGGCACATTTACTGTCATAATTCTGACCTGAATGCTAATGATAGCTATTAAGGATCGACTCGTTAAAGACGTCGACGGAGCTGTGAAAGCGGCTTGAGAGACTTGGGTGTTTTTGTGTGGATATGATACCGTAATGGGATTAACATGGTATACCTAAACCACAATGAGATAAGCTCAATGAGGTCCTATTAAAAACACACTGCTGGCAACAATGGAGAGCGAGTGAGAATGACTGTGTGAGTTCGATAGTAAATGTATCCAACTGCAGTTCATTGCGAATAAAAAAAAGGGAAAAAAACATCCACACAGCCTATTGTGCTTCACAAACACAATAAGCTTGGCAATGCCTTTTTCTATGCCACTTACTCTTTATTTTTCATAAAGCATTATCTTCATTTGGCTCTAGACTTGATAGAAATTCACTGGACCAACTAGACAACATACCATTCACTTTGTAGAAAAGAAAACTGGCACTGACGAGGGTTGATATATTCAGTGCAAAGGTATCTCAGTTGTTCTGACATTGGTTAACAAGTATTATTTTTGCTTGGTGACTGATTAAAAACAACTTTAGATACTAGAGAACACACATATTGTCTCATTACAAAAGTTAATTGCAGCACATTTTTGCATTTTTATGTTAGACATGATGCATTATTTGCCTAGTGTGTGGCATAAATATATTAACTATTCAAGGACCAATTCTTATATTTTAAACTATGGAAAAGCTGTTGAAGTTACACTTTATATTTAAGACATATATGGGTTGATCTTCCTGAGCAGAAACACACCAACGGGCTTAAAAATGCCATCTACAAAATCAAGGACTGTTCTTTGTTGTGAACCATCTTGGCCTTGCTCAAATATGGACATGTATTCTGAGATGTACTAGTATTTAAGGAGAATTTTTAGGTATCTATATGTGTAGTATGTATTTTTCTGAGAGCTTTTTACTTTTACTGTGGCTACATCTATCTCTACAATATATATTTCTACTTTCAAGTCCTTAGATTTTCAAATTAGGCCAGTTACTTCACATTAAATGACTCTCTCATACAATGACTGCTTCTGCCATCCGTGAACAATTTACCATGGCGTCAAGCAAAGCACAGTGCAGTGTTGGAGTGCAGTCTTTGCATGACCAATAGAAATGAGGAATGACATGAAGTGGGTACATATTATACACATACACATCACTGGGCGCAGAAAGAAAAAAGACATACATAGATTGCACAACACATATTTGGGACCTTCACTTAGCCTAGCAAGCAGAGAAGTGAATGTAACTCTCTTTGTGAAAGGGCCTTAATACATTCAATTGATTTGAACCTAAATCAGCTGGAACAATAACACATAAAAGACAATCATATTGGCTTATCCATCACCAGAGCCTAATGCTAGTTAAAAACAATGAAAGAGGGAAAAGCCATAATTTATGTATAATTTCTAGTCGTATACTCAAGGGTTTAAGTAGGTCAGAACTATCAGAATAGTGTTTTTAGTGAAAATTTCCACAACTTTTGGTTACATTACTAAAGCATAAGAAAAGTGAGAGTGATCATGAAGGAAATAGCATGGAAGGTAATTTTAAATGGAGCATTTCTAACAGTCAGAGAATATCAGCAGGAGCTGAGCTCTAAACTGATCACCAACTGGCTGAGTTGGATCAGGTGGAAGGGGAAGTTAGTGGGCAGGGCTGGCACAGCCAAATGTATTATGATGGTGTGGTGGGAACATCTAACAGATCTTAAATTCCTACCTCCGGCAGAAGTTTGACAGCATTCCGAGGGAGACTCGGGAGACTGAGTCTACCACGTGGATCATGTTCTGCACCTTCATTGAGGTGATTGCACGGACCTGTGGCCACAGGGTAGTTGATCTGTTTCATGGTTTTACAGTGTCTGAACCAGATGGTGGATGGTGGTGAAGAAAGCAGTCAAGCTGAAGAATGGGTCCTATTGAGCTTGGTTAGCCTGTGGGACTGAGGGCAGGTAACAAGCGCGGTGTGGCTCTGGCTCCAGCAAAAATTCAGGTGTGGGAGGAGTTTGGTGAGGCCATGTAACAAGATTTTTGGTCTACCTCAAAACAATTCTCGCAAACCGTCAGATGCCTCAAGAGGAGGAAGCAGTGCTCTGCTCACATTAGGTACAGTGGGAGTGGGGTGCTGCTGACTTCAAGTGGGTATATAATCAGGTGGTGGATGGAATACATAGAGGATCTCGTCTGAGTCTGGGAACGAGACGGATAACTCAGATTGAGGTATCTGTTTGACTACACTTTGGTAGTCTCAGGATCTTGTCTTTGCTTTTAGTGGATGATATAATTCTGTTCACATTATCAGGTGATGGCTTCCAGGTCGCACTGGAGTGGTTCTTAGTTTAGTGTTAAACAGCAGAATTGAGAATTGGCATCTCCAAGTTTGAGACCGCAGGTCTCAGTGGGAGAAGGTTGAAATGCCCACTCTCAGTCAGGGACAAGTTATGATTATAATATGACATCAGGTTTAGCCCATAAAGAACTATTTTTTTTGCTTTTGTCCTATAGATATATCTCACAGAAGTTAAATCAGTACTTCAACTCACCTCAACTTCAGCCTGTTTCTTACCTACTGAAAACAAAATTAAGGCCAGAGAGCCACACAAACAAGCCCAATACCTAACCAATAAGAACGAGACCCTCTTTGGATTGGCTAGCTGCTTTTCTGAATCTCCCTCCAAAACATTTCATATAAAAAGCTTGCCACTGAAATGCAACGTTGTGCTTTTCCAAAAGCCAGCACCTTGATTTACCCTATACCAGTTGATCTTCAACACTAGACCTCTGTGTGGCTGTAACTTTTTCTCTTTCTCCTACTCAGCAGCTATTCCAAGGCTATGTGACTATAGCGCACTTCCTTTCTGTTGAACATGTGAATACTGAAAATACAAATGGATTAAATCTAACACAGTTTTAAATTACACCTCTTACCAGCTGGTTACAGTCACCATCAAGGTCAAAACTTGGATTTTTTTACCTACCTTTACTCCTTCACTAAATGCTTTTTGCCTCTGTGAGTCTAATTTGTGTACTACTGTTGTATCATACACTTTATAGAGAAAGTGGTTGCCCTTGTTTTCCATAACATACTCTTAGTCACTTGTCAGAGATGACTGAGTTTATTTACCTTAAACACAGTTTCAGAGTTCAGGGCTTAAACTCTAAAATGTCTAAGCCACACGAAGTAGAAACAAAGCAAAACATGAAACTGCATTGATGATACAATTTGATGCAATGACTTCCTTACCTGTGTTGTTGCGGTAGGGCCCTGAGTCTGGGCCCTGGCTCTGGCTAAGGCTTCTCATGGGGCCCTTGTTGTGATAGACACGTTCTTCATAGATCGGATCTATGTGGTGCTCTGGGGACCCCAGAGGCCGAAGGGGCTCTTGACTATGCTGACTACTGTAGGAGCCACGAGAACCTAGAGTGAAGAAAGAGGAAGTAAAAAGATGTGAGTACAACACAGTGAAAAAGGAATGACAAAGTGAAAGGTAGAAAATGAGGAAAGAAGATGAGTAGGTTAGAAACAAAAAGGATGGAGAGGGTTGAGTAAGAAGTATTTGACATGTGAAAAGAGAGGTAAAATAAAGACATAAATGTGTATATGGTATTTAAACGAAAGGAAAATAAAGAAGCATATGCGGCAACAAGTCTATTTGAATTTTAGAACTGTCCATTGCCATTCTTCACCTACGCTGATGTAGACTAGTGTTGTGGGATAATTAGGACGCTGTAAACAAAGTCGTTCTGAGCAACTAAGGGTTTGGTAGTGTGTGTGTGTTCGTCTGTCTGTGTTTGTACGACTGGTAAGGAAGTGAGAGAGTTATAGTTCAAGCAAATCAAAAGCAGAGAAAAAAATAGAGACATATGCAGCAACAAATGAGATAAGAAGAAATATACAGATTGAGAGAGACAGAAAACAGGGAGTGATGCCTCTGCATTTAATTTTTTTAATCTCCATGGAACACATTGCTGTTCGGCAGCTATAAAATAATGAGATGCAACCCCCCCTTCCCCCTCTCTCCTTTGCTCTGTGTTTGGCAGGAGTCCCACAGAAAAAAACATGGCAAGGAAACATTGACAGCAGGCATTTGTTCATTACACAGCAGAACAAATGTAAGGCAAGGGGCCTCCCAATGAAGACGAGGAGACCCAAAATTAAAATTAGGCAAGGGTAGAAAAGTAGCAAAGTGGGGGAATATGGGTTTATATGGGAGGGTTTAGGTTACATGGTGCGAGATAGAAATAAAAAGACATAAATAGTCATACATACACTGAGTTAGAAAGCTATGAGTGACTGAGATGGTCCAGTGGAGCTAATGTCATATCATATTACAATAGTTTTCAGTGCACTTGAAGTCGCATGCCAAGAAAGTTACACGGGATGATGGGCCAGTGCACGAAGATTCAAACCTCCATGTGAATCCATCATCAATGTAACACAGTCAAATACCTCAATCTGTCAGGTTATATCAGAAATCAATGCATATTAATAGACTTTGCCATCTAAGTAGGATTAAATATATGCACACCGAAGAATGAATCAGCCAGGGTTTCGGGTGAGTTCCTTGTGAAACCTGGCCCCACCTTATCATGCGAATTCCTGAGGTCAGATGGCCCAGGATGTGAGTGGGCGTTAAGGCGTCTGGGGAGGGAACTCAAAACTGGATTATAGATGGCAGACAGTTGGTGTCGTAAGCATGCTGTACAGTGCAGCGAGGAATGCCCAGACCTCTACATCGGAGAGACCAAGCAGCCACTTCACAAGCGTATGGCACAACATAGAAGAGCCACCTCCACAGGACAAGACTCAGCAGTTCATCTGCATCTTAAGGATAAAGGTCACTCTTTCGAGGATGCCAATGTTCACATTTTGGACAGAGAGGACAGATGGTTTGAAAGAGGAGTGAAAGAAGCCATCTATGTCGACTGTGTGATCTTTGAACAGAGGCTGTGGTTTACAACACCAACTGTCTGCCATCTATAATCCAGTTTTGAGTTCCCTCCCCAGACGCCTTAATGCCCACTCACATCCTGGGCCATCTGACCTCAGGAATTTGCATGATAAGGTGGGGCCAGGTTTCACAATGAGCTCACCCGAAACTCTGGCTGATTGGGACCCACACCCAGTTTCACAGGTGAAACCTCTCAGGTGATTAGAGGATCATCAGGGGGTCCTTTTGTCCCTCTGTGGGGGGAAACTCCCACTAGGTTTAAATCTGGGACTCCCCACCATTTGACCTTAGAACTGAAGAAGCTTCTCGGATGAGAGGTGAAACGTCTTCAAGTAGCTTAAAGAAGTCCAGACGCTTTTCTTTGCAAGCTCCTTTGACAACCTATTATCTTATTTCTTTACTATTATGGCAGATGATAAACCGCTGTTGCACCTCAACTCTGTCCTTCTTTCAGCTGTGTGGTTATCTGACTGGCCTGTTAACCTCCCAAGCCTATGAAAGGTTGGCTGCATCCCTTCATACTCTACTGGCCAGCTGTAGCCAGATGGTGAACTCAAACAGCAAGAGGACAAGGGTGTCAGCATAAGGGAAGAAAAAAGAATAATAGATACTGGAAGAACAGACTTTAGAACTGCCGTGGACCTCAGGTAAAAATACAGTGAATTTTACAGGACTGAAAGACAATATGAGAATATGCATGAAAGAATACTAATTAGAGTCATAGACACACCCATTAACAGCATGACTCATCTGAGCTCTTTCGCTTCCTCTAGTGCCTTTCATCTTTGAAGTCTTGGTGAGTTGGTTTTATTTCATTATACATTTACTCTTTGGCTCACGGGGGCCCACTCATGGAAGTACTGACCTCTTTCTTTAAAGAGGAAGAGGAACTTTAAGACAAAAATGACAGGCTGATGTAGAGAGTGAGACAGAGAGATCCCCTCATATGATGTTTTATTCAGTAAAATATTTAAAATGAATAACAACATGCCAAACCCAACTCTGGCTCCTTGGTGAATTACAGTCCTGCCTGTTTAGTAAAAAATAGAGCAAACTACATTTTTACCTACAAAAATATAGCAAGGAGCTGCTCATTCACCTGTATATTGTAATTCCACCAAGAATGGTAGTATAGTTCTCAACGGCAGATTTAATATCAAAGATGACTGTTACAACAATTTTTCTGAGAAGCATAAATTAAAAAATAGAACAAAACTATATATTGAATTTCCACAGCTTTGAGTTTCTAATGTTAACCAGCAACTATTTTCAGTGCCAATAAAGCTCCGCATCAAACCACACATTATATATTGTATGCTGCATATATTATCCTACATTGCTACCATGGCAATATTTAGACCCAGTGAACTATATCACACCAGCCCTTCATACAAAAAGCACAGACAGTAAACTTCTTTTTTAGGCAATTTCTGTTGTACGCAGCTTAACTCTGGCATAGAGTAGGAGCTGTGAAGCTGCTAAGTACCTCTCCAAACATGCTACTCAGATGAACTCTACTGTGCTTTTCCTAGGAGCACATCATCCACTCCGATAAGCCATTTTCTGAGTAACACTATCTACACACAATTCATGCTTGGTAGGATTTTGAAAATGTGGTAACTATCAGACCTTACAGGTGAAATAAAACATAGTGCATTGCCAGCATGAATTGCCATTAAATTGCCCTCATGCAATCAACGACAATCTGGTAGTCTATGCACATGATAGCAAACTGCGTTAATTTTATTTCCCCAGTCCACTCCTGCTCACGTCTTTCTTTTCTACTCCATTTAAAGCCTTCAGGAGACATGGAACCTGAGGCAATGCGTTAAGATCACAGTTGCACCCTCAGGGTAAACCATGAAGGTCATGTTCCTATCACCGTAGCTCTAAGTTTAAAGAACTAATCAAATAAACTTACTCCGTGTAGCATGGTTCAATCAATATTCATCTATTTTATTTTTTATGTTTCATTTTTTTGATGAAAAAAAATCTAAATACACACAGGAAAAAATGTCCATGGCAAAGGATGCTCTAGCAGAGTCACCAAGAACAACCTTTTCCTTACTTCACTCACAGTTACAATTAAACTACAAAATGTCCTTTCTGAAGTCAGTAAGAAGAAAAAAACACAGCAGATCAAGAAGAAGATAAATCATTTCCTAGTGTATTGAAAGCAATGTCAATATTTATAGACCTACAGTTGGGTCTATAGATATTTTGACACCGGTTTTAGTACATGTAACCCTGGGAAACGCCAAACAGATTGTATCTTAATCTAAATCCATTTGGTACTTTTAAGAACTGGCTGCACTAAGATCAGTGTCCTTCCCTACACCCAGCTATTGGACATGCGTATTGGAAGACATAATTAGGAATTTTAATAATTTTAAGTCATTCTTAAAGCAGGTACACAGCTGTGAGTGAAATAGCTCATAATTCTCAAATATAACTGCTGATAGCTTAGTATATTAATTCTAAAGTTTAAACTTTCTAACGGGCAGCCTCAGAGACACCGATGCCTCCTTTGAAGTATAGCCTGAGATATCAACCACAGCACAGCGATGTGCTTTTTCATAGACCGGCTAATTCAACAGATTTAAACATAGCAATTGACATTTCTAAGAACAGCAGTGTGATGCAATGAAATGTAACAATTAGACTACAAATGCTCCACTGATACGAGATACTACATCTGCAGCACAAACAGACAATCGAAGATACACTGTGAGCGATTTACTTATATCCCCTTAGTATTCATAGTATACTTAGTTTAATACGGATTACATATTTTGGAGGGTTTATGTTTTGTGCAAGCACATGAAACTCTACACGACAATGCATGAATGTGTCAACCCCCACCTGCCAGACTTCCAGGTCTCTGCAGTGTAGCAGTAGCGTAGAGTTCGTGGGAGATCTTGTACTGGTCAGAAGCGTGATGAGCTGCTAGTCGTTTGGGAGACAGAGTTGCATAGCTCCCTATGCCTGAACTCATCTGCAGAGACGAGAGTTGCTGGATTGAATAGTTAAGAATACTGAGTGTGGCAGCCAAATATGTAACAGTGGGCATGGCTCGTGTTTCAGTTTGATTGGTGTGGATAAAAAGTTTTTGTACTGACATGTTTTTAAGTTTACATTGCCAAATTGGCTTTGTTCAAATGCAAAACATTTGGAAAAGGGTGTATAAATGCAAATATCCAATCATTTTAGAGTCAAGGATGTAATTTACACAAAAATCTAAATATCTAACTAAAAATAATTGCCCTGCAGCTGCCCTGTGTTATTATTTTTGTGACCAAACATCTGGTAGAATGTAAATAATATAATAGTAACACCAGCCATGTGGTTTTAATGCACTGTATAACTACACAGTGTCATAAAATTACACTAACAACAAATAACACAACTAACAATTACACATCTGTTCAATCGTTTAGAAAAACATAATCACTACTGTAGAATCAGTTAAACTGTAATGTAAATGTATAACAATAATATAATATGTACAAAATGGATACAATAACTAAATTCCTCCAAGCAATCTGTGATTACAGCCACTGTGAAAGAGGTGAGGAGAAAGCTAACCCAGCTTTAACCTTATGTACATACAAACTGGATATGACACATTCCCACAATCAAAATAATAAGTATTTCTATGCATTAGTGTGAGACACCATTCAGTTATATAGCACTTGTCTAAAGTCCTTTCACTTTGCAGAAGTGAATTTATATTCCACTAAGCGCAGTTGCATTTGCATTCATTATAATATTGTATAACCCGTGGTAATTTTAATGGACTTTAAATGTATGCTTCACATAAAAATCTTCTCATTTTATAGTCTATTATCACAAAATACATTTCCTTTCTGCGTGTGTCCACATTGTATAACTGTTGAATGATCTACCTGGTGAAGAGGGGAAGATGTGGAGCTGGCCCCTCCCCCTCCTGCTGTGGAATTAGGTGGAGATGCCACCCTCAGAGGGGAACCGCCCCCTCCTGCTGTTGTCACAGCAACTGTGGTGCTGAAAGACAAATGAACAAAGTAGCATAATTTGTTTGCATATATATATCTATATATAGATATATATTAGGGGTGCAACAATACTCGTATAGATATTGAACCGTTTGATACAGTGCTTTCTGTTCAGTACGCATATGTATCGAACAATACAAAATTTTTAATTTATTTTATCAACTTTTCTTCTGACGATGCTGTCTGTGTTGAGCGCTCAGTGGATCTGCGCTCGACAGTGCAGCCTAGGCGGAGTAGTCGAACGCAGATTCACTGAGCGCAGGGCAAGCTAGCGAGACAGAAGTTAAGCTCTCGCTTGCAACATGGCAAATTGAACCTCCCCCACCCTCATTCAGATCGTGGCGTTTGGAACTATTTTGGTTTTCATGTGACGTATGACCCTGAAGGTAAGCGCGTCATGGACAAAAGTAAAACAGTATGTTGGATGTGCCACGCAATGCTCAATTACATTGGTGGGAACTAGGGTTGCCAACCGTCCCTTAAAAACGGAATCGTCCCGTATTTAGAAACAAAAGTACACGTCCCGTATTGAGCTAATAAGGGACGCACTTTGTCCCGTAATACAGTGAGAATCAAAAGTAGTCTATAAATGTTTAATGGAATTAACGCTTTGTTTGAAAACATAATTCCCAGCCCCTCTCCTGCTTTGTGACCAATGAGCTGACAGCACACTTATGACAATTCGAGTATGACAATTCAGATTACCGCTCATCTCATTGGTCGAGGAAAGGTCGCTTGCGGAGAAAATACCGGAAGACAACAGATGACCACAACAACAAGCATGGCCAACAGGGAAACAAACGCCGACACTGCGGTGCAAGTCTCGGATGACAGTACACCTAAAGCTGGGCAGACACTGTGCGATTTTTTTCAGTCACGTTATTCAGCTCCTGCTCAAACTGCACGATTGACTCGCAGGGGTTAGAAGTTGGTAGGTCACGATGCAGGTCTCACACTATACCGCCCGATGCTCTGATGCGACCTGAGTGCTCACACTGTGCCTCCATAAAATGAAGGTTATAACAGAAAATCTGTCGCTCTCTCTCTCTGTCTTTCACTCACACAGACACACCACCACCATCAACTTTGCTAAATTGCTAATGAAAAACATTGATCAGGCAGCTGTGATTGAGCAGCAATGTAAATCCAACTATTTTCACGGTTGTTGTGGTCGTGATAATTTTGTGATGCCACATCGAAAAGGCTCGGATGAGCTTTCCAAAGTTCTACAAGTTGTGCCTCCGTCGCTTGTGTCCAGATCACACGCTGCACAGCCGTGCTGCTCCGTCTTTTTCACCGACGTTTACGTGTTTGCGCGTGAGCAGTGTGAGCGGCTGTGGTGACACCCTCACGAGCGATTGATGATCGGGAGCTGGTCGTGAGGTGTTAATCACTTCTCGTTACCCCACGTATACTACACGACGCACGATGAAGGCCAAAATCGGTCCGATCACTCAAAAATCGGCTCAAAATGGGCCTAAAACCGCACAGTGTGAGCCCAGCATTAGAGCAGCAATGTTTGTTCCCCTCAGAGAAAGGGAAGAATGGGAAAAGGAAAACACCTGGCTGGAAAAAGTTAATATGGGCATGTGCAGTGAATATCAGCGCTATGTGGCCAGAAGTGTGATAATATAACTTATTTTGTGTAATAAACAACTGCAAGGATAGATGATTACAACAAATAGATGACTAATACATAAAAGTAATACATAGATGAATAATGATGATGAGTTATGATGCGTAATCATGGGAACAAGCGGGTTTACAAACGGGAGCAGCTGATTAGCATTAGAAAAGCTGAAATAATACCTCAACTGAAGCCAATTGTACTAAATGCACTAAATGTGCACTGTTACAAGAATATTTTTCTTTCTATTGTTTTCTATTATTTTAAGTTAAGCAGGACAGAGTTCTTTTAAAGAAAGATTTACTTATATTCTCAAAAGTTAAGCATGACAGGCTTCTGTTTAAGAAAGAGACCTGTTTTATTGTGTTAATGTTGTCATTTTGAGCTAAAAATAAATGGCTAAATGATCATTTGTTTCACATGTGTTCATATCACAAAGAATATGCATCTACTTAAATCAACTTCAAGTCAAATGGTTAAAAAAATAATTTCACACACAAAAAAAGAGCTAGAAAATTCACCACACTGGGAAGGGTGAAGACAACTGGGTCGCCCGGCCCTGGCCACGAGGTGTCCCTTATTTATTTTTCAGGGAGTTGGCAACCCTAGTGGGAACTAGTGTGTTAGCGCAGTTAGCTCATTAACGTGTTGGCCGTCCAGCCCCACGCAGGGGCGATCCGCGGTAGCTCTTAAGGAGATTTGCGTGTTGTGGCGTTAACGTCATTTCAACGAGATTAACGCTGACAGCACTAGTGGGAACACAACGAATATGAACTGCACATTTACTCCGACATCACCCTAGTGCAAAGACAAGTGGAAGCAGACAAAAACAACAAGCACGCATGCTACAAACTTTACCCGAGTCATTTAGACAGCCAGTTAGCACATGATTCTCCTTATGGGGACCTGATATGTTTAATGTGCTGCTGAGAATGTAGCCCAGGCCAGAAGAAGCCTAGCGCTCCGATTACCACGGGGACCACCGTTACCTTCACCCTCCACATCCTCTCGAGCTCTTCTCTGAGCCCTTGGTATTTCTCCAGCTTCTTGTGTTCCTTCTTCCTGATATTGCTGTCATTCGGAACCGCTACATCGATCACTACGGCCGTCTTCTTCTGTTTGTCTACCACCACTATGTCCGGTTGGTTAGCCACCACCATTTTGTCCCCATTGAGTTCCTGATGAAGGCTCTTAGGGTCCCATTGATCTTGTACAATTCTAGGCATTCCAGTATCCAGCTGTGGGGCATTGAGTCATAGGCCTTCTTGTAATCAATCCAGGCAGTGCACAGGTTGGTCAGTCTGGTCTTGCAGTCTCGGCTGACTGTTCTGTCTACCAGTAGCTGGTGTTTTGCGCCTCTGGTATTCTTGCCAATTCCTTTCTGTGTCCCGCTCATGTATTGACCCATGTGCCTGTTCATCTTAGCCGATATGATGCCTGACAGGAGCTTCCATGTAGTACTGAGGCAGGTTATTGGTCGGTAGTTGGAGGGGACCGGTCCCTTCTTGGGGTCCTTGGGGATCAGGACCGTCCGACCTTCGGTTAGCCATTCCGGGTGTCTCTCGTTAACTAGCAGCTGGTTCATTTGTGCTGCCAGAGCTCGTGGAGTGCAGTCAGCTTCTTTAGCCAGTAGGCGTGAACCATGTCGGGCCCTGGTGCTGTCCAACTGATTGCTCTTCATGTTTAAGAACAATCATTTGTCATGTGTCATGTACAGGATATGTTTTTATATGCTGGCATAAAGAAACTGACAATCAACTTGCAAGACTTAAGTTTAACTTTTATATTCTTTTCTGTTTTTTTATTCTATTGCAAACCATCATCATGTGTTTAGCTTATTCTCAAGCTATTTTTCAAGCCTTTTCATTATTCTAATACGGACTGTGTGTCAGTATTAGCAGCCGTATATGCTCTCTACCTGTATGATTTGGCCAATCGATTAGCAGGAGACTGTTTGGGAGAGGAGGAAGAAGAGGAAGGCAGACGCTGAGTGGTAGCGTATCCTTGTGCATCAGAGGCTGATCCCAGACGTTGAAGTTTACTGGGGGAACCGGACCCTGAGCCTCCCCCTCCTGACAGAGGGGAACCCTGGGCAGGTAAGGTGGCACTGGAGTAGTAGATACCTTGGAAAAAAGTGGAGGGAAAACACTTTAATGAACATGTAAATGTTACAGAATGACAGAGAAATGTGATCAGCCTGATAATAATGATGTGAAATAGATTTAAAGTGGGTTTTAAAAAGCTGGAGATTTTCTGTGGCTGATAACTTGGTAATATGCCAAAAAAAATTTATAATAGCAAAACACTGGCACAAAGGTCAAAATTTAGATTTTATTTTAAGTGCATCAGTGACACTTTACTTAAAAAAGCTGTTTGCATCTATAGTGTATAATGCTTAGAATTTTAGATTGGACACATTCACAGACATTTGCCTGGATATGAGCACACTAGGTATCATTATCAGTGAGTGATCAATTTTAACAATTAAAAAAAAAGACTAAGTGAGGATTGCATATAAACAACCCATAACTCTGACCCCAGATCAAGGATGCACTAATAATATAATAAAGCTATTCATACTGCACATTCTAAAAATATTCTCTTAGTATCATATTTTTGGTTTCTTGGTTCCTGGTCAATGTCTCCATATGTCATTTGACATATCAACTGTATGTCAGGCCTTGTCATATTATTACATGCAAAGAAATTGGAGATGTGATCAGGCTTACCTGACCCCGGCCCAGTTTGTGATTGTTGCTGCTGGGCTGCACGGCTTGATGTCACCTGAGGGGTTGTGAGGGGAGACAGAGCAACTGAAGATTAGCATGACAGGGAGGTGATTAGTTTGTGAGGGTAAACTTGAGAAGAGTTGAAGGGAGAGACGGAGTTAAGAAAATAAATGGGATGAAACGGAATAAAGAGTAGTGTTCATGAAAAAAAAACTTTTATGCACAATGAGATCAGTCGAGACTTTGAGGGTTTTTGAATGAACTTAGGGAGCGCTAGTAATGAAATCCCCACAGAACACAGAGGGATGACAAAAAAGACGCACAGAAGCCGACAACGAAGTCCTCTGAGCTCAGCTGACTGAAATCATTTCTTGTAAAGCCTTGTCGCACCATCTATTAAAGGTAGAAAAAGTTATGTAGTCAACTGTATAGTCATATTTTATTATCTACAATCCGTTATATTAAAATCCCGATGTTCACAAACAATTAACACAACTAAATCTATTATTATAAACTAGTTAATGTTTAACATCTATTTACAAGGCAATTTTTTAATGAGAACAGTGGACCTACAGCTTGGATGGCATTATGCAGTGAATTCCCAACAGATAAAGAAGGTATGTGAGTCAAAGACAGAATATGAAAAGCCTTTTTACTCCACAAAACAGGCTGGTATATCCATATATATTCCCCTTATTCTCCCGAGACTGTAAAGGGAGCATATGTCAGACCTTGCTGAGCCTTATATAGCCTTGTGTGTAAGTTTGAGCTGTAAAGGTGATTCAGATCCATTATTACTAGACTGACACGGCTTCAGATGTAGAAAGCCATATTATGCAATCATGCAGTTACTGAGTCACTTCGGAGGATTCTCAGTACTGTCTATACAGTAGTTTGGCTCAGACAATCTTAGTAACTGAGTAATATATAGATGCATATCTGAAAAGAGAGATACAAAATGTATATGAATATATATTTACATTTAAATGAAAATGCATTACTTGACATTAATGTATTCTGCTAGTCCTTAGAATATTTACTTTGTCTGTTATATTTTACTGAACAGCAAAAATAGACTAAAATGCATGCAGTTAACACATGTTACACATTATGAAGCGCCTTGAGGCGACTTATGTTGTGATTTGGCGCTATATAAATAAAATTGAATTGAATTGAATGTTCTGATCATTTGATAACCAGTAGCTCACAATAGCTGAACACACTCTGGAGCTGTGTTTGTATTGAGTTGTGCTGTTTGTATTTCCAGCTGCAAAATTGTGCAGAGAAACAAAACAAAACAAACAAAAAAAGCCCACTTGCTTCCTCAGCATATCTACCACAAATAAATGTAGCAGCATGCACCAGCATGCAATCTCCCTTTTGTTTCCAGTGGCTGTCTGGGTCTCTGGTTATTTTCCTGCTTTGTGATAAGGGCGTGTATCTATTGAGGACAATGCAAGGTTTGAAAAGGGGTTGTGAAATTTACAGTATAATTTGCTGGGGGGGATCTTAGAAAAAAAATACCTGATGCACAGTTTATGGAAGAAAACAGGCAGGAAAGCAAGCAGGTGACACACAAAGAGTGAAAGAACGTGTAATTGGTAAAATGAGGATTGCACTCTGCAGTAGTTTGTATCAACATGTGTCTTTCTACATATTACTGGATAAATATGGAATGCCATGGGGCTGGCAGGATGGAGCAGTTGTTCCTGCAGCTCCATCCTCTTCCTAAAAATAACATTTTTAGGAGTTGCAGATTTGCTATTTAAACTTAGTAGAAGAGTTGTGCACAGTTGTGCAAGTGGTCAAAATGGGTCTTCCAGTGATTCAAATGTAGAGTGCTGGAGCACTGGAACTCCGACAAGCTCACAGGACTTCACAGGGAGTCAACCTACAGCACCCAAATCCAAATCTGATATGAATTCTAATAGATGGGGCTGAAAAATTTCCCCCCATCTAATATATATTAACTCCTTTTAGAACACAGAATATTTGTTCTTCATCATGGAAATAATGTTTTTTTCTAAAGAAAACTTGATATTGTGGCAGGCAGGAAAGTAAGCAGGTGACACACAGAGTGAAAGAACATATAATTAACATTTGTAAATAACTTAACAAATGTCTCTAAAATTGAAGATTTCATGGTTTAAATAAATATATGAATCAAATGTTGTGTTTATTTGTAAATATTAAAGAATATTGAATTCTAACACTGTAGTTGATGTATGTGATCTAAATATTTTGTACCTCTAAAGCTTTCCAAGGATGAATTACTAAAAGTACTGTAGAGGTCCTTTGTGTTAGTTTAGCAGATTATGAAATCTTGAATGACTTAAAGCTTATGAGACGAAGGGAAGAGCTTCTGTTAATGGTGGCTAATAGACTGTGTTCAACACTACAGATGTGCTACAATGATCAAGACACAAAGTGAGGCCTAAAGAGTGTAGGAATGAGTAAATAAATCAATGGGTGAATAAATAATGAGTAAAAGATGAATTGTTGGCTGAGGTAACAAACAGATAGAAAGTCTGACGGAGAGCACTTTCTCGATCTCACTCCGTGTCATCTTGCAGTGCTGCTCTTTTTCTCCTCCAGTAAAACATTGGGATGTTTGAGGTGCCATGTATCCATGAATTATTAAAACCTGGCCTCTCAGGGTTATAAATATCCTACAAAAAGAGCAGCAACATGCTAGACCTTTTACTTTCTCTCCCTCCTTCAGATAGTCACCATGCATCCACGTAAAGGAATGCAGCCCCCGCGTGCACACACACATACCCAAGCGCACACGAATGGAAGAAGATCAACAAAAACATACATGTACTACCCATGCATGCAAGCTGCACCTGCCTATCTAGCAGCACTGGCATGCATAAAGCTATTCATGAGCAGCAAGCTCTGTTGACAGCACTAGCCCCATTACACTGACAAGCCAAAAACATCAGAGGGGAGGATACACACACAGAGAGATACACACTCGCTCACATGGACAGAGATGGTGAGCAGAGAGGACAGGGAAGGAAGATGAGAGGAGGGTAAAAGAGGACAAGGAACACTGTAGAAAGAGTAAACATTCCTTTTTCCTAATCTGTCCATCCATCTATATCCCAGCCTATCAGTGTTTCTCTCTGTCTTTTCCTCCTGTTTCTTATTTATTAAGGCAAGGCATCTAAGCTTTATCTGAAACTAGCTTTGGTGTGACTGCAGGGGATGTGAATAAATATATTTACAAAAAACACTTCCTACATCATTTTCTTTCAAAAGACACATGAACATAAAATAACAAACCACAGAAATGCATGTGCAAACTGACAGAGGAGAAAGCAGATACCAATTTACCTTTAGTACAAAATTCTGCCCAAAGACTCAGAAACATACCAAAAGCCATTCACGACAAAGTACGACTATTGTCAAATAATTATCTAGTTTAAAACAATTCATTTAAACTATTTGATCTCATTTTGTATTCATAATTATCTGTCATAAATGGAAGATTTATACCAGACGCTGGCTGCTTCACTGATTAAGCAGATCAGTGGGTTTCTGTTTCATACAACATGTGTGTGTGTGTTTGCAGTAATACTTAATACTGATATGTTAAGAATATGGAAATTCAAAATAATTGGCAGCTGCAGGCTAGAAAGTAATTTGATAGATTTTCTCTCTATCAGCACACTGCTGTGGTTAATGTCTTTGTATCCATGTAGCTTTATTTTAAGTCTTTATAAACAAGACACTTGCAGAGATTTCTCTGTGTGTATTTAATTGTACCCCAATTTGGGTCTGTGAGCATCTCATAACCTGTTTTCTTCTAAACAACTTGCCTATGTCTATCATCACCTTCACACTAGAGACAAAATGCAATGGGCAGCTTGAAAAGGCAGAACTGGACTAAAGCACTTCAGCGGGGCTAATGAAATAGGATTCTGTACAAATATGCACTTCTACCCTGATCAAATAGACTCAGTTATGGTGTCAAACAAATTCACATTTGCTAAGAGCACTGAGAGCCAGAGTTACATGTAGCTGGATAAGCGCTATGCAACACAGTGCCTAAAAAAAGCCAGTAGAGGAAAATGAAGGGCAATGTTCGCAGAGTCTCTGAAAGAAAAAATCAGAGCGACAAGAAATCCGAAGACCAGCATCTCTCAACACTATAAGTACTTACAAGTTTGCATAAGCAAATGGTTTTAATACAGCTTTACTAATAAACTGAGGAAAACGCACTTCAAATTAGTCACCGTCCGAGCCAAAATCCATACTAAAATGTTGTGACCACCAGCCTCCTAGACAAATGGAAAGTTTCTCACAACACACATTGTGGTTTGCACAGATAGCCAGTGACAGAATTGCTCTCGGTTTTGTTCTCATCAACACTTATACGCTCAATATTCTCTTTGTTCGGAAGTATTTCCCACCTGGTTGTAGCTGTGCACAGCTCCTCCAACTTGCCCGCTGCGCTGAGGAGTTGCTGCAGAGATGCTGTCGCTTAGGGCGAGGGTCTGGTTGCTATGGTAGCTGGCAGAGTACTGGAGCGAAGCCTCCGGGGTGGAGTTGAGCTGCAAGGAACTCTGGGAAAGAAGAGCCGGTCCTACCAATTGAGACAGAGGTGGCGTATGGTTGTATAGAAAGGGGGTTGAGTTTGTGACAGAGCAAGTGAGAGCGTGAGAGAGACAGATTAAGAGTGAGAAAGAGAGGGGGTGTGAAATAGGGAAAAGAGAGAGAGAGAGAGCAAGCAGCAATTTAGAGCAGATAGTGCAGCAGTGCAGCACTCCGTGAGTTGGAGATAGCATACATAATTTATTAGCAAAGGAAGACCGAAACAGAGGAACAGAAAGAACTGGAGGAGAAGGAGGAGGAGCAGGGAGATAGAGAGGATGAGAAGAGGAGGAGGAGGGCTGAAAAGAAAAAAGTTGTAATAGACGGAACACCTTGTTGGCTTAAAAAAAACTTTACTCAAGGCGGACCATGATGGTCTGGTCTGGAATTAATTAGAAACATTATTTTATTTTTCCAGTAGTTAACTGAGCTTTGAAAAACAATGAAATTTGGCTTCAAACACCTAAAATGCCAAACCGTCTTCCAAAGGGTTAGAACAAAAGACTATGTCGACCACAATGACTTTTGTTACACGCACACAAATTCACCGTCTGCTTCAGAGCATCACTACTTCAACCACCTGATGAAGTCGCTGCTGTGTCATCAGATAATAATCCCTTCTCTTTGATTCCGATGCTGTGCACATAAAGCTGATATTGATCCAAGCTAAGAACATCATAAGACAGTTTTTTAGATGGACTATCTTCTTAAATGTCTATGAAATGATGTGGTGAACCAAAAGCAGTGGTTACAAGCCACAAGCCAGTCGGCGGTGAGTGCGTAGTAATGTAGGTTTTCCATATATGTGTTTACGTGTGCTCTATTAAGAAGTAATTAGTTTCCTCACATTTTCATGATATGGCAAATAAATAATTCATAACATGTATGTTGCCACTGTAGGTTAGAGATGCCAGACATTGCTTAGTTGCTGCTTAGTTGATCTGCATCTGTGCCCGAGCTAGTAGAGGTAATATTTAACAAATTTTTTAATGCAAATAAATATCCAGTATGCACACTAATACTGTATCTTAGTGTATATAAACATATCCAATCTTTTTTTTTTTTTTTTAAAAACAGCCCCATTGAACCAGCATATACAAATCATCCCATCAAAATATAGAAGTAAGTAAAGATTCTGATGAACAGGGTTAAAGAATGTGGGGATTTCTTTCTGTTTCTCTCTCCCAATTTCAAAAGTTGAACCATCATGGATATGTCCTAATAAAGCCTACAATAAGTGTTTTCCCCTGAGCTTACTGACTCGTTAGTTTCTTTTCTCACTTTAAAGAACAATGGCCCGTTATTATTCTTCTCCTATATCTATTTGCTTGCTCACTCCATCTCTCTTGCTCGCTCTCTTCTCCCTGAATCCTTCCCTCCCTGTGAGCCTCTGTGCTGTGAACCAAGATCAACTCCTCTGCTTCTCGCCTTCACAAAAGACTTGCCTTTTCTCATCTTGATTCATCCCTCGCTTTTTATGAATTATTAAACAGCACTTTGTGTTACGCAGTTTGAGTGGGAGCTCCCAAACTCATCATGCCTCAGCCTTGGTGTTTGTTACATCGTGTGTGTTACGTGACAAAAAAATGCATATGGTTGTTTCTATGTTCAAACATGTGTTGCGAAATTTGTTTTTGCTGGATGGTCAGAAAATAGCAAAGTTGACTGATTATGAAGTAGCTAATAAGGGTTTATTAAGGGCGTGGTATGCTTGCACACATGTGACATTAAATGTGCAAATGCCTAATACGAGTGAGTGTATAGTAGCACATGCATGTGTGAGTAACAGTGGGTAAAATGAAAAACACTGGTTGTAGGGTTCTAAATTCTTTTGTGTCAGTATTGACTCTCGTCTCTGTTTTGATATGGAAATGTAAGTTCGACTCTTCTGATATAAATATTTCAAAAGCTCAGTCAAATTATGAGCATCGTATTCTTACTGCAGTCTATGAAATACTCACTCATACACACCTGACATACACACAAAAGGGTCATTAAAGATTTTAGGAATGCTGGATTTGAAATCGCAATAAAAACCTGAACATTACTTTTTTTAAAAAAAAGAATTAGTGCGTCTGTGTACAGTTACTTATGAGTTGTGTTGCTCTGTGCTGACACTTATGTTCACCGACAAAAAGCCTGTTTAGTAGAACCTTCTGGTGAAGACAGCGACATTTCACTACAGTATGTATTTACTGCTTAGCTATTTGCAGCACTCTTTTTTGGGAAAGAATCACACACACCTATTGAAAGATATCCACAGTCACGTTGTTAAGCTTGTGGTAGAAGCCCATTTGCAAAATGGGAAAAACAGCTGGGTGTGGGACACCCATAACAAGAGTGCTCACAATGAGAGAGCCATCTATTTGGACAGGGACTTGGGCGGTACAAAAACAGTAAGGATCTAATGATCTGGCACGTCTTGTAGCTGTTCGGCATATGCTTAAACAGATAATCCATATCATATTAAAGCAAACCAGCAATTATAGTAAATATACCAAAAATAGCTTATCATGTCCAACTTTTGGTCAGACATGCCTCTTTGTGTGGATGCGTGTGTGTGTGCAAAACATTACATCGTTGTTCCACACTACCTAGCCCACTCTATCAGTCCCAGAAACCACATGCATTGCAAGATGTAACATGTAAGCTGACACACAGAAATTCACTGTGTATCACCCCTCACAGTGTGAGTTCTAAAATGCCATCCATTACTACAATATCAACTATCAAAAAGGTCAGCAGGCAATAAGTGAAATGGGAATGCAGTGTTCCAAAACCAATGACCTGCAAAGAAAATGCCAAGCACATTTAGCATGACCTTATACACGGGCTGCCTCTCAATCATTGTTGGAATTTCTTTATCAGAATCCAAGGTCCACAGGCATTTGGGACAGTTCCTTGTAAAGATTAAGAGAGCAATATGCTGCGTGTGTTCCTTAAATTGACTTAAAACGATTTGCTTTAGAGCAAATAATCAATGAGGATCTCAAAATCTGGAATAAAGCTCAAGCTGTTTGCTGTGAGCACAGGTCAGAGATGTAATCATAGCAAAAATTAAATCTTAACAATAGGATTTGTGGCAATTATTCCACTTATCCAATGGGTGAGGGATAATTTTCCTCCTTTAATAAACAACAGTTAACAAGCATTGGCTACCATTATGCTCACATATTTAAACTAACTACTGCTGCACTCTGTGAAGACTATCGCCACTTTTTAAGCACTGTACAAACCAATTAAATGTGTTGTTTGGAAACAGTAACATGAATTTTGGTTTTGTGGCTTGAAGTGCCTGTTCAAATTTTTAAAAATAAATATGTGTGTAATATGTGGGTAATATGAAAAATTGAACCTGAAATGATATTTTTTTATGCATTTTTATACTCTTAGACTGAAATATTTTGTTTGAGTGGCATTTCTGCTAGAGTTGACTCTTGACTATAGCATAAAATAGACTAAAATAAGTATAATTTAAACAGACACCAAATATTTGAAACTATTTCCCCCTCACACACACGCACACACATGCACACATACACACACGATAATAGTGGCAAGTATACTTACGTTCTCCACTGTCTAGTATTCCTGATTCCTGAAGGGAGCGAATGCAGGAATCCACCAACTCCAGACCTGTTGTCAACTCATCCTCAATATCTTTCTGTCCATCAGCTGTGGGAGAGAAAAATGATGAGGAGCACATACAGGCGCAAAGACTGTGAGAAAGAGAGAGGTACGGGAAAGAGAGTATGAGGCAGAGAGATGAGATCTTTCTGGGCAGTAACCCCAATCCTTTCCTCTCACAGTGTGTAAAGCCTTACGCATTGTGACTTGGTTATGAGCCGTGGGACATTTTGATTATATGCTGGTAAAGGGCCCTGATAAGTCTGCCCTGGGAGCTGCCTAGCTGGAAATGAAGTTGCTGTTATAAAAGTGAATTTGATGCACTGGTAAGTATGTGTAAGTGCATTTGGGAATATGTATGTTGTGTGTAGTGAAAATGTTTGATTTTATTTATTTATGTTTTTTAAACATATGGGGTAACACTGTTCTCCCGGGCTAGCTGTGGGTTAAAAAGGTGATACATGTTTGCAGGTGTGACTTCACAGATCGTCCGGATCCTGCAATAATCTATTTAGCTATCACAACTACCAAATCTCAATGATTTTGACTATGGCATGCATGATTCCTCTAAAAACTAACACACAACAAGTTTCATGCATGTCTGAGACGTTAAAGTCAAAGTCACATTTAAATATAGAGCACGTTTAAAACAGCAACTGCTGACCAAAGTGCTGTACATTTAAAATAATCAAAAGAGATTAAAACAGTAAATGAGGGTGACATAATTTAAGAAAAGAAGCATAAAATGAGAAGAAATAAGGAAAAAATAACGTAATAATGAATTACCTTGAGAGTTCCAGCGAAATTGCTCATCCGAAGAACTGCAAGAGAAAGGATGTGGTTACCACGACGAATAAAAAGTAAAGTTTTAGTTAAGAGTAGATTCTTAAATGGCTTTTTCAATAAATCCTCCATATCACTGTGATGAGTGATGACAAGAAAAAAAAACCATGAGATGAGAAGCGCCACAGGTCACTTTAGCTCAACCTTAGACTCACCGTTCATTTGCACTGAACAGAGAATCTCTTTATTAAAGATGTGTCCCATTGTCCTACCCTCTTAGTGTATTTAGTCTGCGTTCCTATGTTTTACCTCTCTTAAGCCAAAATGATACCAGTGTCAGTTCTGTTTCTGTTCCTTTTGAGAAGAAGCTCACGTTTTACCAACTTTTAAAAATGCAACACATAGAGGGAGGAAATTAGAACAGAAAGAGTTTTGGTGGACAAAGTTTATGGGCTGAGAAGCGAATCATCATCTTTTTCTCTTTTTTTTGGTAAATTTTGGTAGGAGAACAAAAAAAAAACTCTAGACAGCTTGTGTGTTGATGTCAAATTGTCTTTGTTTCTTCTTTTATTTTTCATCATAGCCTTGTTTGTCTGGAACCTAGCATTTGCTATTTCTTGTTGGATTTATTTGTGTGTTATGGTTTGATCTCATGTGTACTGAAGCTTTTACTGAAATAATCTACTTTTTAAAACTTATCCTTAAGTCACACTTTGAGTTCTGTATTGATTGGTTCACTCTTTATTTCCAGATGGTGTTTTAGGTAGACATACAATGAAATAATAATTGTTGCTATATTTAATTTCAGTTTTTGTGTTTGCTTGTGAAGGCAGAGGGCCACCTCCCCCTGCCTCTACTCACTGTTATTGCTTGCTCAAAGGAAATTGTTGGATTTATATTGGAAGGTATTGCGATGTGAAGTGCTGTGAGATGACAGTTGTTGTGAATTGATTGATAAAAACCTAAAATAAAGTTCATGTACACACAAACACACCCACACACAAACATTTGCACATGTACAAACTACAGGCAAGACTTTTTTTCTATACTCCTGATGAATGTCAATGGATGGCTGATTAATGGGAGGCTGAACAGAGGTAAAAACAGAACAGAAGAGCAAAAAAGAAACTTAGAGACGAGTATTGAGCCACCTTCTTTGTGATCAATACAGAATCAGACAGACTAGCTGATAGCTATAGACGCTTCCATCTAACTTCATCTACACGATTAGGCTGGTTTTCGGGGCTTGCTGTCTTCTATTTGTACTATTTCATATTCCACGGTGATGAGTTTGTATGCACAAAAGAACAAGAATGGATAAGTGGCAGATTTTAATGGTTATCCACAAACTGTTATTGTCCTAAATAGCAAAGACTCATTGTAATTCTGTAGTTAAAGCAATTTGAAGCACAGCAGCCTATATCCCTGTACTCTAATACATACAATGTGAAAATATAATGGAGCAATACTGGAACACTTCAGAGAATTTGGAGGGGCCTGGGATTCAACAGCCAACCAGAAACTCCATCTTTAATACAAACATACAGGTAGGCATCTTAAATAAAGGTTCGTGAAGAAGAGAAATGTAAACATGTGCTACTTTGTTACTTTTTGAAACCAGCTGGACTTTTAAATACAATCTGGCCAGCTGCTACCCCAGCAGCACCTCAGGAAGGGATGCTGGCAAGACAGCTGGTTCTCAAGCGTGGCGACCATTCAAAAGGTCAGTTTTGGCTTGGACTCAACGGCTGGATGCTTCAGTAGACATTATGACCTACTGTCCTCTCAATTCTGGTGTAAATCTTTGAGTTAGACTCTAAAAAGTTTACTTTTATTTCAGTAATATTTGGAAACAAAATGCTGCAATCAAAGCAACATGCTTTGCAGAAGTAGGTCATAGAAGGGCGTGCACACTGAAAGGTCAGTGGCCATACTGATATTTATGTTCCCCTTGTGATAATAAAAAAATGTGTGATGAAATTCAGAAGTTCACTTAACTTACTGCTCAATAATTCTCCAGCTAACATTTACTTTGAGTTATTTAAGTAAGGTGAAAAAAAGACTTCAGGTCATAGGATTAAATACCTGAGTCAGAAGCAGAGATCATAAAAGTCAAATTATACACGAACGACCGTGCATTTAAAGATTTAAGAATGATTGCATTTTAAAAGAAAATGTAAATCTTATTAATACATTCTATTGAGTTCTATTGTGCTTAGAGCGCTGTGCTTTCATGTGCATCAGTAACATATAACAGAGTAACCACAGCAACACTCAGTTCTCCAGTGGAGTCGGTTGCAGAGAAAGAAAGCAATAGAAAAAGAAAACTAGGCATACGACAGTCAGAGAGACCAGGGAGAGAGATGTATTAAGCATAGCATTATTCCACAACATTGCACCCCCTTGCCTGACATGCCACAACACAACGCCCAGCGATTCACTACGCCACTCTCAGCAGCCACACAGCTTAAATCAACACACAGCATCCTCTGCCCTTCCCAGTGAACTCCAAAGCATGCATGCATGTCACAAGTGCGGTAACTGAAAAGTGCCGTTTTCACCTAGTGTCAAGATATATGCATCTATGCACCCTACACTATTGTGTGAAATTGAAATATTGAAACTCAAACAACATCTCTGTTGGCAAATCAAAGTTCAAAATCTGAGTATAATCTACTTAATATTGTTCTTTCAAGTGTCCTTTGGAAAGACTGAGGACGATTTGTAAAAAGTGAGATACAAATCTACACTAACAAAAACACGCTATGCATGTTGTAAATGTGTTATGGGACAGGAATCCCACAAACATAATCCCTGATGATGTCTCTAGTCCACGGCTTACATTACTGAACAGCAGCATTACTCTGAAAGAGTTACACTGCCACACAACGTTCTTCACAAATCTTCCAGCTGCCTCCCTTCACAGATAGTAGCACTTAAGAACACTTGTCCATCGTGATAAGGCTGTCAGTGATGATGTATGTATGCATCCTCAGCAAACGCGTTTCTGCATTCACATATTTAACCCCCTAACGCCAAGTTTGTCATATTTGATACATACAGTTTTTGTGTGTTTTTGAGAATTACATGATCAGTGTGATTTTTTTCCACCTGAAAAACCTAAATGAATTGCGCAATATATTATTAAGCAATTAAAAAACCCACATGTAGCAATGATCTACAGCTAAAGCATGCCCCTGTTTAAAATTTTAACACATACACAGTTATTTACATGCATAAACACCAACACACTGATAAAAACAACACCTATACATACACAAGGTGTCAAACTCATACCATCTAGCTTTAGTTGGTATTTAGCTAGAAATGGTGAATGCTGCTAATAATTACTTTCATGTTATGATGGAATAAATGGCAGGGTTGACAAGCTATTTCATTACTGCCAGAGCAGCATCTAATGGACTGTAATGTCCTACCTGATCTTTTCTTGTGCCACAGCAGGATGTAAGCCTAAACACACCCTGCCTTTTTGGAAAATACTGTTTTTACAGGCATAAATCCATATCTCATTATTTTTTGCTTTTCTTAGGGACCCAGGGTGGCCAATTAATGGCTATTTCTAATTATTTCATTTCAAGGACTTGTGAAAAAAAATTGTGGTCTTTTTAGTACAAAGTGGTACTTGGCCTACAACAGCATGCACAGTTGCCCGAAAAATAATTTTACTTTTAAAACTTTATCATAAATAATAAAATTTAAAAAGCTGATTCAGTTTGAGAGTTTTCACTGTGATCGTCTAATATTATCACAAGAACATCCTATACCTTAACGTTGGACAGACTGTCAAGGACTGAGAATAATTAAGAAGTCAGAGAAGAACGGACTGATGAATAACAATGAGTCTTTATGACCTGACCTCCATGAAGATATGCAATGAGGTCAGGAGTCAAGGTCAGCTATAGCATGGCTGGAAACTCTGAGGGAATCATCATGCACAAAGTTAGTTGAGGAAGAATAGTGCATAAATTTAGTTTTTTTTATTTTTAATCACTTTGTTTTTGAATATTTTTTAAATGTTTCTCACTGAGTGGTGTTTATCAGAGCTGAAATAAATCTGAATGCAGACTCATTCAAGCAAAACAAGGGAGATGATGGTCAATGGAAAACAGCCAAGTCTCGTTAATTTCCTTTTTCTCCCATTATGCTCAAATTCTGATAACAAGCTTGAAATGAGGTTCAGTTATTGGATTTTCCCATAAAACATGTACAGTATATAAGCAGTTATGTATATGAACAAAAACAAAACCTGACATGAGCTAAGCTTGAACGTCTATCTGCCTTTATTTCGAGATTTCGAGATGGATGCTGATTACTGGGTAACAACGTTTTGATTTACAGGACAAAATTAGTAATGCAATTTACTGGTATCTTGCACATATATATGTATGTGTTAAAGGCACTCTAAATTCCACATGCTCAATCAATGAGAGCAAAATTTTTATTTTGAGAGACAGCTCAAGGACATTCTAATCGTTTGGATGCGGGGCTATTTGGGAACTGCATGTCATTTAAATAATTTGTCAACTTTCAGCATTTTTATTTTCGGAGATTTTTGTTGAAAATCAGTGATTGCTACATCAAGCCTGAAAGAAATGTAACACTAATGCTTATAAACAATCACTGCACACTGCACTTCACTTAAAATCAATCCTTTGATTTTTCTGAAAATCGACAGTGCTCCTTATAATCCCGTGTGCCTTATGTATGAATTCTGGTTGTGTTTACTGACCTCGAAACGATTTTATGTCGTACACGGCGCTGGAAAATCTGTCAAATGTTTTAGTACGACTTTGCTAAGCTACGAAGCCGCACCGCTTGATGGATTGTCGGAGCATTACGGCTAGCATAGCCTCGCAGAGTGATACGTACTGTGCTTCAACATAATATTACCGTATTGTGTGTGTATAACCTCTTTTTAAGTTTTGTGGATATTATACATGGCTATGCTGAGGATATGTCGGCCACCAGAAATGCCTTTTGGTTAAACTGTTAGCAAGGAATTTGCACTGCTACATTT